TAGTGGGATCCCAATATAGACCCCAATATACTACAATCCTCACTACCAGCACCCCCAACAGTATTCCTAATTTTGGGAAACCGTAAGCCCAACACACCCACATAGTCCCAGTTAATGTTTGTTTGGCCATGTGCTTCTCCCTTTGATTCTCCATTGTTCGGAGTAACATCCCTATGTAATCCTACAATCCCTCTATAATCATGGGTTCTCCTCGAAGCCGTTCAGCTGGGAAAGCTGGTCATGGATATCCCATATGCTGACCTCAAAGCACAGGGTACAATCCGCAGAAGGGCTCCCAAATACAGGACTCAAACCCTAAACCAAAAACCGCGTTTTGGGATATGTTCCTGGAAACCAGCAGGATGTGTGTAGGGACCTTAAGCGTGACTCTGAGATCTCTGCAGATAGGGTATATAATTCCGCTTCTGCTTTGGATGACTGTCCTGTCTTCTTGTCGGCTATATGCTTGTTCATGCATTCTGCTTCCAATCCTTCCTGCACCCTAAGGGTCCAAGCACCTAAAAGTTATAAACTTACCCAATTTGCGCTATAACAATAACTCTTGCCCAAATCCCAAGTATCTAATCATTGCGTACTTGGATGCTGGAGAACGACCCTCAACAGCATTCTCTCGGGTGGACCCAGCGCTGAGCTTCTAGACACACTCACGCACACACCTCATGGGCACTCTGGAACACTCGATTCCTACAGGGCCTGGCGAACAAATAGCGACATCCCTTGCATGTCAGCATAATATTCCAGACATTCAGCCTACGTCGCATCAAAGAGTGCATGGTTGAGGGTACACTGGAGACAGCATGTGCGATTGGGTAGCTGGGCTTGCTAGGCCATCCTAGAACTTGGCTACACGAATTGGAGCCCATCATCCCCAAAATCCCACAGTCCTGAAGTAATATATTTCATTCACAAGAGATATCTCGCACATGTGTGAGCCGCTTGTCGCCTTGTAACTTGTTTGTGGGCTCTGGACTTCCTGCGTGCCTTTAGGAGGTGAGGCTTTCTTCGAGTAGGAGGTTAGTGATACCACAACTCCAACCCAGCCTGCTGCGGAATTTGGTCCAAGATCAGGATGTGCTCTTTCTGCTGGATGCAGAGAGCTTCACGCAACCTTTGCCGTGGAGCTAGTTGCATGTAAAGGGTTATCCTTCTAGAACTCTTTCACAGGGTCCGACTGACTGTGCTTAGTGCCACTTTGAGCCAGTCTCGCAGAGAAGCTGGAGATTCTCAGGCATTCTCTTGAGAAGAGGATGCATCATGTTTGAATTTGTGACCCTCTTGAGCAAGGGCTCATAGGCGTTGGACAGGAAAAGCAGGCTCCAAGCCATCTGGGGCTTTACGGTGCAGACTCGCTGGCATCTTCAGAACCTCTGTGAGATGACATGAACATACCCATGACACAGGGGAATTTTGCGGACCGAGGATCTGTACCCTATACATCTCACCTACTACTTCCTCTAAAGCCCCATTCCCCAACAACAAGATACAGCCTGTTGACGTGGGGCCCATGCAGCCCTTACATGGTCCTTGTATGCCAGCTGCATGCCGCCCCATACGCACCTCCTGCTCTCTGTTTTGATTGACCCTGTAATTACTTTCCACAGACTTACTTCATGTTTCATGTTCTCCCTGCCTTGGCTTTCAGGAGCTTGCAAATCTACTGCTGAAATGGTCTATCCAAGACCAGCACAAAAAGCCTCCGAAATCCCAAGCATTGAAATCCAAACACTGTAGAGTCTAAGGCGCTGAAAACTCAAACTTTAAAAGTAGAAGACCTGGTAGCTTTTTATGTTCAGAGCCTTGCCCGAGTATGAGCAGCTGAAAGCCTTCACTGCTCTTCGAGCAGGCCTCATTTGAAGGGACACCTGGAGGGGATCATCAGTGTGGCCCCTGGCACTCGGGTGTATTTCACACTCGAGAACCCGGTTCGTTTGAAGAAACAGCGGGTCAAGGCAAGAAAGAGCAACAACATAAGCAGGCCCTGAAATCCCAGCATTTGACCTGAACAAACTTATTTACGATCCCTTCTGCGCTGAACCGCAGGGAAAGTTAAGCCAACACGAAAGTTCCAAAGCATATAGAGAATCCAAAACCTTTACCTACCCACAGCAGCATGAACACGGGGCGCCTCGTAGTTTATGCGGAACTGTAACGTTGTTCAGTGCAAGATACCAGGAGCACAATACATGAGTGCGCCCTGTGTATTTACGCCCCGGTTGGCGACGACTGTCAATGCCACAAAACACTTTAGCCGAAGGTACTGCAAACCAGTTCTACGAACATCCTGACACGCTATACAAGCCCCGGCCCGGCAACGTTCTGAGCATTAGTGGTAAGGCCCTGGGTGAAGCCCCATCAATGTATAACATACCGGTATGTTTTGCCCTGAGATAAGCTCCAAACCCATCATCAAGCAGCCAAGCAGCTGTTCTGCAGGAAGGGTTATCTGTGTGGGCTCCGTTGTGGCTTCAACAGCGCACTCGCCTGCCGGGCGTGCAGGAACCTAGATCAAATTTTGAGTTCAATCAGTTCAAGCACCGCGTGCTACCAGGCTTCCAAAGCTTGTTGGGCGCAAAGGGATTGTGGAGCCAATCATTAAGAGGATTCTATAAGAGCTCTAGCATCTGGGTCTCTACATGGATCTGCCAGTCTGATTTGGGTCTCCTTTAATGGTTTGCTTTAAGTTCTTGCGTGTGAGGAAACTGGGGCTAGATGTGAGCTGGCCCACGTGCGCTTGAGGACTGAGTAAGAACAAAGCTGGCTCTGATTTGGCGCTTATGTCATGTCTCGACATTGGCCATTTTGGAAGGGTTTCTAGGGCCCTTATGTTTAGAGTATGCTACTGCCCCACAAAGCAGCAGAAAGAGATATGGCTCGGCAGAACATCCGCTCGCTTTTGCTCGGGAGGATCCCAGCAACTACAAAGACCTTGCTATACACACACACACACACGAAGTAACACTAGAGGCGCTGCTGTTACTGTCATGAACTATAGTTTTTAATTGAAGCCTGGTTATACTTAGAACCACCACCGCTATCACTGTTGCTTCTACTACGGTTGCTATTTCCCCGTCTTCTGCTACTACGTTTAACCAGTGCCAATCCCACGGCTGACGGCCAGTCCACGTGATGGCTACTGCTTATCCCATTACTGATGCTACTCCGACCCCAGCAAGCCAGAAGGACGTACTACTAGCACTGCTGCTGGTAGTTTGATACTACTACTGCGATGGCTACAACTATAGCACTGCCACTACGAAAGTTTCGTTTCATGCGCCAAGGCAATGCGAAGCAAGTAAGAGCACCTTTGTATAAGAGCTTTAACGCAACGATAGTAATAATTGTAGGAATAGTAAAAATAATCTGATAGTAATGATACTAGTAACAGTTTTACAGGTAACAGTAATATCGACGCCTGCGAGAATCCATGGAGCCCTGAACAGCGAATTCTAATTCAGTACATTACATAAAATATTCTAGCCTATATTATACTATTAAATACTGTATTGTACTATAACATGCTATATTATGGAACCCTGAACACCAAATCTGACAGGCCGTCCTTCTTGAAGCTTTGTGCTGGTGCAGCACAAGCGCAGCTTTCCGAAGTGGCCACTCTCCTTAGTCTGGGTTGCTGTTAAGGAACTTAAATTAAGTTACCATAATGGGTGTATATATCTATATATATATATATAGTGAATGATAGGGTTTCCCTAATATAGTAGCTGAAATTTAAGTCCCTTGACAGCACAGGGGCCAAGATGTACGCCTAAAATCCCAGGAGTCCGTACCAAAAAGCCCTCTAGAGGAACCTGACCCCCCTAGAAACTCCGACATGCAAGGTTCAGTTGTCGTCCAAAGAAGGTCTGCCAAACCAAAGACCCACATCCCGCTTCACTCTGTTGCAATGCCGTATAATAGCAGTATATGGCTTCTGTTGGCACGAATACGAGGCTCAGCTGTCCTGATTGCGTGGAGAATTGCAACATCCGACGGTTGACTAAAGATCCATCCTAGCAACCCTGGGCTCTGCAGTAATTAGGACTGAAAGCTCCTTCCTCTACCTGGACATCCTATGATTGTTGCCGTAATTGCTGCTTTGCCGTACCTTGCTTCGTGTAAGGTAACCCTGCAATGCGAAATCACGTACACTAGAAGGCCTAAACAAGCCTAAGGCTAGCTGCCAGCGATTTGAGGAAGTGGTCCAACATCTGCTTGCCACGATGGGCCCGCCACCTCAGCGTTACGTAGCTTGAGCGTCTTTCTGGCTTTGCCCAAGTCCGGGAGTTCACAAGATGATGTTGCCGTTGATGGAAGAAAACCGAACCCACCCTTGTACTTTTCCTGTAATTCCAAAAATGCAGTGCTTCAAGCATCCTACTGTGGGCCATTGAAGGTAATGCAAGGTTTCACCCCAAACAACAGGGTCGGTGGGGATCTTCGCGCATAAAATGTAGAGAAGGTTCCCTTTCCCTGCAATATGCGATAATGTCACGGAACAACCTTGTTCAGGCTATCCTTGGCTATCCCTCAACAGCTCTCCGTGTAGGGCCTATCACCCGCTGTAAGAGGAGTAGGCCTTGCGTCCATTTAGAGAAGTTGGTTGCCACTCTGTATGCACTCATGCCAGAGCGCCTCTAAAGTTTTTGGTCAAAATCTTGATTTAAGGTGGAATGGCATGAGCTCCTGTGCCATTCCGGTGTCCATAGGACTGTTGTGGATCAAGGTCTACAGAGAACAGCATCGTGGGTAGCGGCTTCAGCCACTGCCTTCTAAGTGGTTCAGGACAAGCTGGCAGTTCAGCGGGTTGAATTAGAAGACTGGGCCACCGTTCCACACTAATTTAGGATTGTCGAACGTAAGCTCAAGTAGGGTGACACAACTGGTGGGTGATACTGCGGCTTGCCCTTCATGTGACTCACGTGCATCTCCATTTGGGTTGGAAAGCAACTCTGCAAGTTCGACTGTTGCAGGTGTGCCACAGCGACCATCGACGGATGCTTTCGGGATGGTAGGAATCCGTCAGCACAGCACGCTCCTAGCCAATGTGTCGCAAGGCCCACAAGACAAGTCACGTTTCATGGTGAGAAGTAGACGGGTTGGGTTTGGAGCAGCATGGCCTCTTGTAGATTTTGCCTTGTGTAGCGCCAGAGGGCAGAATACTAGTAGCGAGATTCAAGCTCAGTAGCAACAACCCAGAACATTTAGTTCTGGAGTATCTTCGTAACTCCTTTAGCCACAAAGATAACTTGCATAGCAACATCCGGTAAGCCCGATCAACAGACTGTTCTTTTCTCTGCCAGCTTTCGCAGGGTCCAAGGCCTGAACAAACACTATGCTCTGAAAGCAACGAAAAAGAAGTTTTGATCCTGAGCATCCTGAGCATCCCGGTGACGACATGCCAACCCCCCCCTCCCCCGGCGACCCAATGCTAGATCTGCAAGAAAAAAGGCCACAGACCCATAATACATCCTGATGGGTATAATGCCCATTTCCAAGCTGACCCTGAAATGCTCAACCAGCGACCACCGTGAGAACCCGCTTTATGATCATGATGGAATCTAATCCACCTCCAGGGACGTCTCGCATCAATCTTTCTACCCCGGCTACCCAAGCACCCGGGAGTCCTTGTTGGCCGCCCAGAACCGCTGCTGGCAGTCTCGCTTATGGTCCGCATCGTATGCCTTATACTCGTTGCTGAACCTGAATCAGGTGCTGCCATTGGTTGGATTGGATCTTGTAGGTGACAGAGGCATTTGAGGCGGTAAGCTTCGTAACTATTCAGGTCCCTGTGATACACCCAGAACCAGGAGATGCGTGTGCCTCTGATAATCCAATTGAGGGGTCTGATGAGTGCCTCATTCTGGTGGGACTCTGAAATCCTTCTCACCTAGCTTTGCTGATACGATCTGCGGCTCGGACATGCTTGGGCACTAGCGCTGCAGCTATGACCTGGGAGCCACAGTGAACAAGCGCAAAGCCAACCAACGAGCCTCACTCCTGAAGCTTGTTGTTCACAAAGGGCAGAGGTGGCTTTCCCAAAGAACGCACCCTAGTACTGCAGGCACTGGGGTGTCAAACAACATCAGAACATTACCTGCTACTGTTGCTTGGAAGGAGGCCTCATTTAAGATGATCATGTAAAACTCCTGCGTGAGTTGCTGAGCCGCTACGTCGTGCCAAGGAGCTGATCCGGGCCCTTCTCTTTCGCGGTCTCCAGTGGCTGTGACAAAACGAACTGCCGGAAGGACAGCCATGGCACTCCTGAGCAAGTTACGCGACGTACGAACCAACAGGTGCTTCCAATGTACATGAAAACACACAAACATCTGATGGTAACAACTGGGCCTCTCGACAATGAAATCTGACTATTGGGAAATAAGCCGGATCGTAAGCTCTTAGCCCTTGGATGATTAATCCTCCCAATCCGCAAGGCCTCACTAAGGCCTGTAAATCTTCCTACAAAAAGTGCGCATGCCAAAGGAGACCCGTAACAGGTAGCCATGACTCCCGGGTCCACTCTGGGCTCTGCTTTGGATTCTGCTTTGGGCTCGATCACGGTCTCCGTAACCGATGGCGCCTCCTGGTAGAACTTTGTGGTCTCCAAGGGTTGCACATCTGAACTACTGCTATTCCTCAGTCACGGGGTTCCACTTTCATGCTGGCATATGCCAATTGCACCATTCGCCCCAGGCTGGTAATTCAGGTTTGTGAATCACAGTTATGCCTGAGTCAACGAAACCTCATCGAGAGGAATGGCTAAGGTGAGGGACGTATCGAAGAGGGCGGTTCCTAAACTCAACATGTTCAGACACCTCCGCGTGAGAGCCAGAAAGCCCTGGTGTTGAGGCAGGGTCGAAGAGCGCAGGATGTACAAACAATGACAGAGCGCGGCTGAGCTGCAGTGTGAGGCTGAACATGGCTGAACCATAAACCACTTCCCAGAGCCCTTGTCCCTTCTCTCAAGGGTTACTGTGATGTGTTTTGAAGTCTGTCTAAGGGATGACGTCATCTGCAATAGCAACCGACTGCGCAAGCGCAATACTGAGCCAACATGCTGCCTCTGAATGTTTGTCAGTGTCCAGCATGTGTTTGCATGCTGTACTAGTTTTCCTGCTTGTAAGTCATAAGCTCCTACTACTACCAACTTTGTAATGGCTCAAATTACTCACGCAGCATTCAAAGCCTAACCTACACCATGCAGACAATCATCAATAAATGCTGACCCAGAAATAACCCTCAAACCTTCAAGCAGAAACGCTGAGAATTGAAACCTTCTAACCCCAAAGGCTGCAAGCGTTGCAGCCCATGAGTGGTGCATAGTAATGCAAATTGAGCAGCTGCTTACAAACCGTCTCTGATAATCAGTGATGCAGAAGCTTATGCGCCGATCTTTTGAACCGGGCAATTTCAAATCCCAAACAATCATATCCTATAAGCAACAGCGCATTGCCTAGAAACTAAATAATTAACTGGAAAGCCACAGCCATGCGCTCAGGCTCCCTCCAGACCCTATCCCAAACTAAACCGTCTGAATCCTATGAAGCCCTTCACCTACACAAGCCCTGCAAGCCTCTAGCAGCTCTGCGCGAAGTGGCTACGGCTATGCATAACAACGCTCAAGCTTTTTTCAAAGGACCCTGTACACTGTAAACCCTAAGCCTGTCCACAAGCCTCAACGTCCATGGCAGCCTCCGTCACCGCGTCGGCTTCGGCGCGTGCTGGACTGGCCTGGACGACGACAAGCACTGAAAAGGCGGAAAACAAGGCAAAAGCCTTGAGCCCAAGCCCCACGCGGCTTTTGTAAGCTCATGCCCAAACCTCCAGGCCCGTGAACCTCTATTTAACTGTGCGTAAGGTTTAACCCGCAATTTGAAGCGGGGGGGGGGGCCTTGCGAACACTTGAGCTGGAGCTGTGACGTGCCCTGGAGTGGCGACGGCGGCGTCGGCGGCCATCACGCTCACGGCGCTTGCTGCGGCTGCGATCGTGGTGACGTCGGTGGGTTCTCCTGGGGCTTTGCTAAGGGGCCCGACTTCAGACCAACAAGGCTGTTTGTTGAGGGTTCTATGGTTGAAACCATGCAGGGTCTAGGCACGGTGCTACGTGAAGAGTGTCATCTGCTACGTCCTCGAAACAAAGCAAAGCACGATCACACCGGAACTTTATTCGAGTTGCCCCAGGCACTGAATCCAACGCAAAAATCAACGGACAAAGCTCTTCTCATTTTCGGGGGAAACCAACTCCAATTTACAGGCGCGGACATGCTAAACCACCTCTTCCTGCCCAGACGGCAGTTCAGAGCTCACAGCCGCATATGACTTCAGGACTAAGGGGTCAAAGTGGGCATGAACTCATCCTGCGCTTGTCCAAGCCGCAGCACGACCTGCATCACTGATGTCACGGCGAAGGCCTCCGAGCCCCAAGCTGCTGAAACATCGGCTGGTCGACGGATCAACATGGCCGATGGCACCACCTGCGCAGCCTGCGCCCATCCACGGAGCATGCCTGACTTCTCCACTTCAGCCTGAAGGCCACCCGAACGAACGGGTTGTTCGTCAAAGGGACGCGGAAAGCGGGGAACGCTGGCAGCGAGTGAGGTCCGAGCTGCCATCAGTATCTGTAGAACCCTGACGCAAAGAAACATGGGCCCAGTGATGCTGATGATGTCCGCCACAGGGGGGGGGGGGGGCATCACCATCATCATCACCACCGTCAGCATCATCGTTATCCTCATCATTTTGGGTCTTCGTTTAACACCCTCGGAACTTTTGCGGCAAAGTCTGAACCTCCGTCAAAAATGCAGCATCCTGACGCCGCAACAGGCGAGCTGGTTGGGGGCACAAGCCATATAGGCCAACGAGCCCTACAGTAGCGGGTGCACAAATGAGCGTTCACCAATTACAACAACTTAAGTCAACATTCGGTCCTCAATGCCTGTCATATGTACTTCAGCATAAGACAAGCTTGGTGACATGTGCTTAGGCAATTTTTTAGGGCACTCTGCGGCTGGGCACTGCAGGGATATTCTGTGGTCACCTGGCAAGGGCATGTAATCTTGAAATCTAACACCCCGCAGCGGGGAACAGCTTCAATCAGCCACTCATGCTTGAGATATCGACTTGATAATCTCAACATTAAATGATGTTGACTGTTTTTGTGGCTTGGTGTTGGGGTGCTTTGACAGCCTCAATCGACGGGCATGTTCGATCAAAGCTTCCTTGTCCCAAACAGCTTTCATGGGTGAGCAAAGGCCCTGTCGGGCCCAAAAAAGCAGCGCCGGTGTATAGCGACGGGTTGGCGTGTAACGGCCGTTGACATCCGCCGACATAAACAGGCTTCCCTCAATTCTGTCATAGCTGGCTGAGTAGACTTCTGAGTTTGATTCCGTTTGCATGGAGGGTTGGTTGAGTTTTCAATACCTGTGTAAAGCCCCTGTGCGGGATTGCTTTGATCTTGCCCCCGTCCTCGGTGGTGTCTTTGTTCGCGAGGCACTGCGACCGGAGGCGAGAACGTTCGACGTGTCCTCTCAGAGTTGTTCAGGCGGGGGGTTAGACTGAGAATGCGCGGATTTGATAGTCCAAAATGGCAATCATGTATCGTCTTCAGACAGTCCGGTAGACCTTGTTGGTAGACCTAGAGCCTTCTCGCAATGCCTACCTACCTACCTACCTGCCTGCCTGCCTGCCTGCCTACCTACCTACACAGAAAGCGTGCATGCATCCAGCGCTTCTTCCCCTTCATATCTTGGTGCATAGTGATTGGAAGCTACATGCCTAAACGGCTAGCCACTAGCCGTCATGTATTGCACACGGGTCGGCACTACATTCCTGAACTCCTAGACGGCATGGTGCCTTGCCGTGTTCTGGTCGCTTCAGCGCAAAGCTGATCCTTGTCAGAACCCGGGGACGGAATCATGCAAAGATTGAAAACACCGTAAGTTTGGAACTTTACCTCAGTCTGGATCGATCAAGCCCGGAAGGTCCGAATACAAAATGCGCGTATGCACTCCTGGGACAAGCTTCAAGCGCAGTAAGTGCGCACCAGACTCTTCTACATGGAGAGCATCTGATATGCTTGGGCATAACCAAAACTATGCGTCAGATTCGGATTTCGAGCAAGCGGGGGTTTGGGGAGTAGTAAGCACTATAAGTGGCAATTGAGCCGCAGGGTTATCAGCAGTGAGTCTTGTTTCAAATCATCATGCGAAGCTTGCGATTTGGACTGCAGTATTCAGCATAGCAGCTTTCAACTCGGCTCAGTACACATAGCTAGTACACGCTCTCTTTAAAGGGGTCTATAGGGATCACAAAGGGTACCAGGGGCCTGGATTACCAATCATGGAGAGCCATATGGATAAGAACATGGGAAATCAACCGGAAACTGAACTCTCATAAGGCGGATGAAAGCTTTCCGAAGCAGTGACTTTTCGAGGGTAGTTAATTACGAAGGGAGACAGTGCACCTCATGTGTAATAAAGGAATGCTTGCAGGTTCCAGTACATACATGAAGGTGGCTTTGCTGACACTATGGCCAACAATGAGGCTTGGCTCAACCACCGTGTTCCCCCCTTTGTCCAATGGTTCTGCCGCCAAACCCTTGAAGACTTGGAGCGGACTTCTTAGACACCATCAGGAATGCGCCAATGCGACTATCATCACACTCAAGCTTGTCACGCCGAGCTCAGTTGTTGGGAGAGACACTTCTTAGCAAGTCTGCTTTTCAAACTGAGACCTCACTTCCCGGACCCAAAACAAACTCTTCACGTATGCCTAAAGCGTGCATTTCTGCACTATGGACGGTACACTACGCGCAGCATGGTGCATCAGCTACACACTTTATTCGATTCCCAGCGGCTGGGATCGTGCAGGCGCCCTGCGGTTGCGGGCTTACTATGGGCATTCGGAACGTGTGTTGGGGGAGGCTTTTATCTTTACGTTTACAGGGCGGGGGTTCCACTCCGAGAATGCTCTGGATAACACTCGGCTTGCTTTGGGAGAATTGAGAAGGCGTTGGGTGCTTTACAAGTTACATGTACCCTGCGGCCAGCTTGATCTGGTTATATACAAATAATAATAGTAATAATATAACAATAGTAATAGTAATAGCAAAATTAATAGTAATAGTAATAATAATAACAGTACTAGCAATATAGCAAGTACTCCAGGAGGAAGGGCTGGAATCAGACTGACATGGCTACAGAAAGGATTCCATGCGTGTTTCGCTCATCACATGACTCAGCGCTGAGGGCCCCTAAGTCAGCTGCAAGTTCCTGGGACAACGTTGTACACCCTAGGCCAGCTTCAGAATCGATGCTTATGTGTTACGGCTTCGGGTGTAGGGTTTAACGTCGACGAAGGGCTCAGGATATCGAATCTTCTAGCCCAAAGGCATGCAACCTGAGGAACTGCGCCACGCAAAGAATGTGGCTTCTATGGTCCGGTGGAAAGCTCTTCAAAGGCACCGCTGCTCGCTGGCAGACAACAATCACTTCCAGACCCGAAGCCTAGAGAAGCTGTGGAAAAGCTAGGTTCTACCTGAACCTATTACTATTACTAATACTATTGACTATTACTATGGCTATTACTAATACTATTTACTATTGCTATTATTTCTATTATTACTGGTGGTGGCTTGCTCTGGGTTTGCTGACTCTGCTGCCAAGCGTCATTCAGTGTAGCACGGCTTCCGCAGGAGAGATATGCTTTCAACAACACGTTGTGCCCAAACTGCAGCACACAAAGTGGTTCCTCGTAGCATGCGTGCAGGATCTGTCTTTGAAAATTGGAATCAAGCTGGCAAACCCTGGATCACTGACAGTGATGCCCTTAGTTGATGCAAGAAGCCCCTGAACTGGATCGAGCGGGCATGCGGGACCACGAGGACACTAGGCCCAGGAAAGACTGCCCCTTTACAAATGTCTGTGATCTAGCCACTCATCGTTTGCATATGTTCCATTTTTGGTGCGCACTTCCTGGAAAGCACAGCTTAAGCACTGGCTCACTAGCTCAGATCCAGCACAGCAGTGTCATCCAGGTCGATAGCACCTTCGGGAAGTTTGGTCCTTTCCGGCCCCCGTGAACACATCCTAAAAGAGACGATGACCCAGGTTGGAAGAGAGCTGATAGACGTCTGCGTAAGCAAAGCCTGTACCCTGTACAGTCCCACGTTCTATGGTAACCTTGCACAAGCAGATTGCATTCCGGGAGATGCTCAACCAAGCTCCGGCCGAACAGACGCCAAGTATCAAATCTGCTTGCTGTGGGACTAAACTAAGAAGTAAGGCTTGTTTCACCCATTGTGCTGCATCACTTGAAAACAAAGCAAGTCTGCTCTGTAAGCGAGACGTGATACAGCATGGCTCCTATTGGCCAATATCTCAGGCTCTTGGACCTCTCGCCCCCACCTAGGCAATAGCACGTAAGCCTAGGATCACAATATGACCCCCAATATGCTGTAGCAGTTTCCACCTGAATCTCCATGACTCCCTATATACAAACCCTATATATATATATTTAAATATACACAGATATACATGTATATGTATATATATATATAGATCCCTCATATTCCAGGACGTCTTCGTACTGATATGGGATGGCTAGACCCATCAGGTTGGCTCAGAGGCCAGAGGAAGGTTGAAACCCCAAGAATGTCAACTTGAGTAGTGTTTTTTGGTGGTTGAACCTAGTAAGATAATATTCCCTATATAAAACACTATACCCAAAAGGAGGATATAATCTTACTCTATATTGGGTACCATAGTATTCCCAAATAGAATACTACTCACTTGGTGACTTGCAGTCTCTCAGAACCCCAATACTTCTTGGCCCGGCATGGTCCCAACTTAATATTGGGCAGAAGAACCTTTATATTCCCATGGCTTTCAGCCGCATCCTCGAGGGTCAAAGCAGAGAAAACAATAAGTGGGAAGCAGGGTTGCCTTCAGGGATCTTAGCAAACTCGACCCCACGGATCCAAGCAGCCCAATGTAGGTAGTAATAAGTGTAGACTTGAGTGCCCAATCTAGGCATAATTTGTGCACTTGGATCCCTATAGGGAAACCTACAAGAAGCTTGTCGGGCGTCTATTCGATCATGCTTAGTGCCTTTGGGCGGTGGACTGCGTGGAAGGCCGCGCAACCTTGATTGTGCAGGGAATCATTGCATCAGGCAGTGAGTTCAGCCTGCTGCTAGAAAGGCAGTCCTACATCCCTCATATGAGTCGCACAAGCTGCGCTAAATTGCAGGCCCTGTAGTCTATAGTGCTGCCAGCAGCAGCAGCAGCAGAAAGCAATGACCCAACTTGACGAGGAGAGTCAAGAGACCATGTCAAAACCATACGTACTATAGTCTAAACTCCTGAAAGGGGGACATATACGGGATTATATAGGGGACTACTATAGGGGATATTAGGGGGGATACTAGGAGTTTAGACTATGGCTCATACAACAACACAACTTAGAAGTAGTGCCATCAGTCCTCAGAGTTGGGGCAGTAGAATCATTGCAGCAAAATGGCTGTGAATATCTACGAGTAGTGAATAATTCTAATGGAAAGCCTGAAATTAGCCTGAAATGAGAAAACTAATAACCTCAATGTTGCAATGTAACCACATACAGTACCGACTATGAAGCCTTACTTGACCCTAAAGCCCTGAACCAATGAACCCATATTGAAATTTCTTGAAAAAGGGGGACCCCAATATAGACTCCTAAATAGTACAGCCCTCAGTACAGGGATCCCCCAAAGGTGCGTTAATTTTGGAGAACCCCCATATAGATCCCTTAACCCACCGGTGTTGATCTGGGGCCCGCGCGGCGGTAGCAGACCACGCATCCGCGGGGTGCAGGAAATCCCGAGGCCCCGCCCGCGCAGGAGGAGCTGGTGCAAGGGATGTTGTCACAATAATGGAGAAGCAAATCAAAAAGGAAATGGGAAGTGAAATGGAAAGCGTGGTGATGTTTTGCAAGAAGTTGAGGGTTTGGGTTTGAGCCTTGCAGGCCTGTGAGAGTTTAGGGGTCTAGAGTCTATAGAGTAGTTTTGGATTTAGGCGATTAAGGACGTTGCAGGCTTTTACGAGGGATTTAGGGTTTGGCGCCTTGGCGGCGTATGCTTTTATCGGATAGCATGAGAATCTCAGGATTTCGGGATGCTTCAGGACTAGAGGGTATAGGCTCAAGGCGCCAACAAAGGTCTGGAGTTGAGTGAGCTTGCGCCTCAAAGTCCAAAGTTTCACCGGTGGCCACAGAGCACTGTCCCACCTATGAGACGAGGCATTGCTGTACTCGACAACGGTAATCACCTTTTGAATGGTTTAGGGTCCATCCTTGAGATGTCTTGGCTTCTAGTCACGCTTCACGTTGAAACTACTCTTGGCGTACCCACTTTTATGCTGTAGTCTTGCTTTAGGATGTCGCAACAAAGCCTTGGATCCAGGCAGATGGATTTGCTTTCTGGTGTTATGTAACGGGCTGGCCCTCCATGTTTTGAATGACCTGGACCCAGTCTGTCCCAAGCACTGAGCTGAACGTCGCGTCTCATCAACCTCCTGACGATGAACATGGAGCCATGCCTGAATTGCAAGAGTAAGGCCCCCATCCAACTCTTAGATCACGCCATAGTTCTGTGCTAGTTGAGGCCATGCACGGATCTGTGCATCTGGAGGCCAATGTGCTTCAACCAATCCGGTTGTGTACCCAAGTTATTGCGTCCCTTCTGAGTTCCTTGGCAGAAGTCTGCCCTGGGTCCAGGGCCTCCAAAGCTTGATGATTCTTTTTTTCACCCCACACAACTGCAGGATATGCTGAACAGCCTTGCGTGGCAGCTGTGCACAAATTAGCAATAATAGTAACAATAGTACTACTACTACTACTACTACTACTACTACTACTACTACTAACAATATGAATAAACTGGGAGGCGGTAAGCTGCCAAATCTTGATCACTTGCTGAACCCCTTGGCATATTATCAAAGGGGGGATGTCAAAAACACATATGGATTCTCTCCTTCAGGGAGTTTACACGGGTTGTTTTGAGACACTCCTACTTCCCATACCCTGTGGCCTTCCCCTTGCCTTTGCCCTTGCCCTTCAGTGGCCGCAAGGGAGTCCTTGGGGTATCGCAGCAGTTCCCTTGAGGTTCCTAGATACCTAAGTCAGCTAGTCTGATCTGACCTGAGGGCTTATGCGTTTGGGCGAGAACTGCCTGTCAGGCACGATTTGGATTTTCTGACAAGCATTGCACTCAGGGTTCAACCCCAACTCCCTGCCACAATTGCACATTGATCCTGATAAACATATGCCAGAATTGCACCTGGCACTGTGGCTTACCTTCAGGCCCAATCCTGACAGGTTCTGAATGCTCATCAAAACAGTTCACTGGTGCAGGGGGGTCATGACTAAAGGCACTAGAGATATATACTCACTTTGGATCCTGTTCCAGTAAGAAGGTCAGCTGCGGACTATACAGTAGGGCCGCCAATCCCCTGTATAGGAGTTGAGAACGTTACCATGCTCAGCACACGAAGTTGCCGCGGCTACATTTTTCTTAGGGACCGTTGAGTCAAGTCTGCCAACTCATGATGGTGAAAGCGGGAACCGTGGTTTGTTGCTACATCTCTAAGCTGTAGTCTGAATTGAGCTAGACCCCCAAGCATGCAATCATTACCAAACATGCAACACAAGGTTATGAATGGACCAAAGTAGGCTGTACCTCCGCACACATAACCACGAAAAAACTCTGGCCTCAGACTCTTACTCTGAACACATGGGGATTTCTGTCTCGATATCTTTAACTGTGCACAAGTTGGGTCGCAGGCGGGGCATCGCACACAACATCGTCGCCCTGGGTAGATCGCAATAACAGTCGCATCAACCTTTAGATAAACGGTGCCAAGAAGTAGACACGCACCACGGGCAGGATGAGATAGTCATGGCTGAATACTTCTTCTCAACAGCAGCAGGAGCAACAGTAGCAGTTGTAGTAGCAGGAGTAGTAGTAGCAGCAATCGTGATACAGCAGCAATAATAACAGCGATAGCAATGAACAGGGGTAATAAACATATTAGGGGCTGGCATATCGGAAAGTAAGGGCATAACACGGCTACATTTGGGCAGATCTTCATGGAAACGCTCCAAGGCTAGAGTAGAAGCAAGAAAGATAAGACAACATCTGCTTAGCTCCCCTCGACACAGGAATCATTAGCAACTCCTTTCTGTAGTGCTTTCCTGAATATCTAATCCACCCCCTGAACATGGTACGAACCCCTGCAAAAAAGAAAACGCTATGCGCTCCATCAGGCCTGAGAAGAAGCTCTAATTTCAACAGCTGGATAGTTCTACGGATTCATAGTACGAACACATAGATTCCGCCGAGATTTCGTACTAATTTCCTGATTCTTCTCTCTGGAATCGTAAGAGTGCCTTATTGCTGAGTGCTGAGAAGGTGGCATCGCTGACTTCGTCTGGCGCTGACACGTCCATGGGGAGCTCCACAAGTGCATCCGCCCCATAATCCTCACTCAGGCTGTTTAGTTCGAAGGCTGATCACGACTTCGAGGCCTCCAGGCTCAGGGTAATGGCAAAACGATTCCAGGTTCCTCTCCTTGCCTTTCCCGAACATGACGATACATCGCGGTCAAAGAGTGCAGTTCTGTGACGTGAAGTCTGGGGACGGACAAGCATTGGCTAGCAAAGTCTTAGAAATCGCTGACAACTGCTGTTTGACATTGTGTGCTTTGTTGTCAACCGGTTACCTGTCCACCTGACGAATCGTTACAATCGAAAGAAAGAGCCCAGCGTGCTCAGGGTGCCTTATAGGTTCCTTATAACAACCAATGCTGAGGAATACTTGCGAGCAAACACCGTCATCATTCTTACCTAAAGCTCTTCGAGGCAGCACCGTCCGACTGCAAAAGCTCACTGACATCTCAGGCTGTATCCTGGCAATGAGACGCACCACCTTGAAGGTTGTCCTACACCATGCTCTTGCCATGGTCTGCCCGGCCAGCCAGCTTTCTGGAGACTAAAGATTGAAACCTTCATGAACACATCAGTCCCATGCCCCTATGATCTTATCTTAACAGGATTTGGTATAGCTATAGGTACAGATTCTAGATAAGATTGTACTGGTTTTAGGAGATATCTTCAGAATCTAGAAACTTTTAACATTACACTCTTATCATTAGGTGGTTATAATCCTACCATTGGCATATCTTGGAAGGGTTTCTATCGTGGCATAATTTCTGTCTCTCCTTTGTTTCGCTTACTTATTCTTAATTTGTGGCTTCGTTCGCTTATTTCGCTCCTTTCGTCGCTCTCTTCGCTTCGCTTACTTTTTCTAATAATAAAGTGAGTGAAATGAATTAATTTAATAATGAACGAAACAAATGAGTGAATTAAATAAATTAAATCATAAACTCACGAGCCCAGGGATGTGATTTCATGGGAACGAGGATCTTGTTTGCCGCTACTGCTGCGAGCTGCTAGCCGTGTCCAGAATGATTTCTAAAAAAGCTGTTAAGTACCTTCCCTAAATAGGCGGACCCCAATATAGACTCCTAAATACTTTTGTCCTTATCATAGAGACCCCCAAAACAAAGTACACCTGTTTTGGGAAACCCCTGTTTCTTGCTGTGGTAATTCGACTGCCTTTGACTCAGTATCCCCGCTTGCTGGCCAGGACCCACACGGAGTTGCTGGACGAGGACCTCATTACTATTTGGCAGCTGCTCAGGAAAGGCGTGCCCTCGGGGCCCCAAAAAGGAGATGCCGACTACGAGGAAATTATGGGGGTCCGTCCCTCGTAAGGGAGTTTACAGAGGTCATGTTGAGATGATGCCATTTCAGGAGCTGGGCTCAAGGGCTTTCCAGCAATCATGGCTGTGAAGAACACAAAAGAATGCTACCAACCGCTTGTCAAAAGTATGCTGGCTACGCACGGCAAATCTTTGGGCCCTGTAATTGTCGAGACTTAGGCTCACAAGTATTGGGACTATCGGCGCACCTTCACAGAGTAAGCATTGAAATTCCTCCCGGAAGCTAGAGCTTTGACGGATGCAAGGAACTAAGCGCCCTCGTCACAATGTATACTGACTGAGGTCATATTGCTTCACGTTTGAAGCACTGAAGCTGCAAAACTAAGACCTTTGGGCAGCCAAGCTGCGAATGTCTCGTCAACATGTTCGGAATCACTTGCCATGAATGGAGGGCTTATTGGACTGGGTAAGCAGATGCTGATCCCTGCACCCCTGCAATCAACTTGCACCTGCCCAGTATCTTAGCACTACGCTGCTGCCTAAATCTGCCGAGCGAGCCTCCTGGTATAGGCTCTAGGTCTACAAATATTACTTTGAGCCTTTGCAAGGAAGCACGTCATACTCTCCGAGCCTGACAGATATATGTCACGTATCGCAGAAAACTACAATTGAGAAACCGCATGTCGGCATGTTGAGCAAGCTCTTTACCTTTGGCCTCACTTCCACGCAGATCCGCGTAGACTGCATAGCCCCAAATCCCGCACTCAACACAATGAAGTTGGCGCAGACCGAAGAGCTACACACACTGAAGCTCAAAAAAGGGCACAAACGCACAAATGAAAGTACAATTGAATTCAATCCAAGGCCTTGCACGCCCTGAGGCGCCGACGAAGAGCTCCCCATGAGGCCGACGACTTCTCCCTCAGCCATTACCTGCAGTTTTTTTCGGTTTCTTTTTCCATGGGTCAGGAACTGGATGGTCTACATGCTCAAAGGAAAATGGCCACGTGTCATTAAACAACCTACAACTCCGAGCTACCACCTACTTGGTCACCAAACGCTCATTAAGACAGCCTGCTTGAGACCTACTCTAAACTTTGTATAATGAAAGCTTGGTCTCTGGATCATGTTAAGACTTTCGTGCCGACTTGAGTTTGTAGCTATCCACGGCGATGATATCTTCAAAATAACGGCGCACTGGGGGATCCTACGGATAGCAGGTAAGTAAATGGGTTTGGCTGCAGGGCCAGTCCTGCGGGAACAAAAGGGACCTTGACAAATCCTGCAAGATCTGGGGTCCTTTTTCGGAGAGTCCGATTCCTGCATACAATGTCAACACATAATCATGCACATATACATACTCAGCATATATATATATATATGAAAGGAATCCTATCTGACATCTGGTATGCTTTCAGCAAGGGGAGATCATAAGACTCGAGGTGCCAAACCCCTACATTCAAACCTCAAGCTGTGGGACAGGGCACATGGCATTTCAGGGCTGGCCCGAGCTTGAGCCCAGCGACTACATTCTTGTTGGGAAGCACCTCATATTTGTAGGCTGATATGTTTGTGTCAGAGGCCTCAAGTCGGGTTTCAAGCAAGGGAGATAACCTTGGCCTGCACTAGCTCATCTGGGCACATGAACCATAGTCTAAACTCCTAGTTTCCCCCTGAATCGCCCCCATAGTAGTCCCCCATATAATCGCCTACATGAGGAGTTTAGTTTAGATTATGGCTCACATTGTCGCTGCAATTTGATGTTCTGAGCAGCCCTAGGGCTGCTTGACCATGATGTAACATATTCTACATCCCAAGGTCTGCAGCACATAAATGTAGGGGTATATTATCCCTTTAGTGGAGAATCAACTGGAAAAGAAACTAGCAAAATGAAATGGAAACAGGGCTTAGGGTGTATGGGCACTTACATTGGGACAATGGAAAATAAGATGGAAACTACTACATTATGGTAGGGTATACAATGGAAGTATGATAGCCATTTTCATGCAAGGAAAATCATTCTGTTGACCCATGGGGGTTGAAGACAGCGTCCCAATGCCACCTTCTACCAAGGATCCCGTCGATAGCCGGATCAAGGAATACATGGCCGTAACAAGCCTTGCCTATCCAAAGAGAACTCTGACCAAGAGAGTTTCGAGGGTACAGTCCTAAACCTTTTCAAAGTCATGCTGCCGTTATGAATCTGTTGTGTTGCGTACAGCATCCTGTAGCATGGCACCCTGGTTCAGACCAATCGAAGTCATGAATATCCGCACATGATGTTTGTTCAGACATGGCAGCATGCAATAGGCCTCCACCTCCTCATCAATGTCAACCATCTCCTGCTCGTCAAAGTCGGAGTTCTTTTTACTTTTGTGATTGGTGGCTGTCACTTGTGTGCTTCAGCTTGAGCATTGTATAGATGGCACACATTTGTCGTCGTGGCTGTTGTCGCCGTCGTCCACGCCTGAATCGACCCGCGTATGCGTCAAAAAAGACTCACGCTCATACTCCAGCAACTTTGCTACAGTATGGTCAGATAATCGTAGATAGTCATGCAAAACAGACGTCCGCGAAGGTTCTGTTGCGGGTCTATCTCCGTTCTCCAATTCAGGTGCAACATGCGTGCGCACGCAGTTGTGTGAACAATCTGAAGGAATCCGAGTCCTCCTCTTCCTCCTCCTCTATCAGGGCTTCAGCCTGAGCCGAGGCATTCAATGCTATCAAGCATGAGGTTTGGTGATTGGCTTCTAAAAGCTCTAAGTCCCTGTGGGGCTGCTTGTAGCGGAGACGATTTCATTTTGTTTTCTGAAATCCCAAATGCACTCTTCCGGCCCAATGTTCCTGGTAGAATGACGTATGAACCTATGCAATTCCGAAGGTTCTGATTATCGTCTCATGAACCCATCAGGGCAACATCTTCGCGATGTGGCTGCAAGCAACATTTTTTTGCTTTTGTTGGAGATTTGCCAACACCAGCCGATACCTTTCTTAAAGGACCTTAAATGGTGGGGTAGTCCGCAATTATACAACGAGGAGAGTCTTGGTCTCCTTGAACAAACCAAAGGATCTGGCCATGGCTTCGTTGCACTAAGGCTCTCGTGCCCGGTGCGTCAGGCAAAAAGCCGATATCATGGACCGTGCTACATGGGCCACAACGCGTAACAATTCTGTTCGGTTGACAAAATCAGCGGTCAGGTCCGCTTACCGACCATCCAGGGCGCGTAGGTCGTCATGATGTAAAGCATGGGCTGCTCGATGCTCAGCTGCTGCAGCCAGATACATAACAGCGACGTTTGACGTTATCCAATTAACCCTAGACTGAATCCTATGGATCTTTAAGCAGGAGGTGTCATGCGAAAACTATCGACCACTTCTATCAGGAAGAAACCATCGACCTCACGTACCTCCTTGAAGCGCCACTAAGCGTCCACTACTTCACGCATTTCCTTGAAGCACCCCTCGGCGTCCAGTATTCTAGTGATGGAACCAAGCTTGGCAAAACTTCACCAAAAACATGTGAAGGAGAACCAGGGAGTCTTGATTGCGGACAAAATTCATGTTGACAACAAGAAACCTGGGATATTTCCGGGACCTGGACGACTTCAACAAGATCAAACAAGGCTATATATGGGGATCCGTGTTACGGGGACGCGTTCGGACGCACTTTATCGCATCCTTTATCACCCACCGATTCGGGGATGGCAAGCCTCGCGGTCACCGTGCTCGACAAGTTGGGTTTGATGGGACTGAAATGCGGGGACATTTTCGTGTCGGATGGATGGCGCGCCACAAATTTCAGTTGTGACCTCATACAGAAATGAGCGGGGTCTAACGCCCAACACGTTCCGGCATAACCAGAAACGAAATTGAAGCGAGGAGGAATGGCATCAAGTTTTGGATACGCCAGCGTCTATCACGGGTCCTCCCCAACGACAGTGATCGTCAAATTTGGCGGTTGCTGGTGGATGAATGTCAAGCTCGCAATTTGTTGAAAGTTGCAATCCGTTTTTTTCATCGCGGCCACATTAGCTATATCAGTGTCAATGCTTGAATTCGGCTGTTCCGTGTAATGTAAACGCAAAAATGGTGGATGCCTGAAGTATAGCATAAACAAAACGGGGCGGTATTTTTTCACACGCTTGCATACTCATGCACGCGAGATCTTTCCTAGCTGGTGATGCTTTCCGCAAGAAAAAAGTCAATCGAATTGCTTCAGAAGCTTGCCATCATAATTGCGCATACTTCATTGTCCTGTATACAGATACGATGTTGCGCGGGGTTTTGGCTGAAAAGTTCAAAACGCGGCGGGCGGATTTCAGTTCCGAACCGATTTTTGGTTGATTTGATTAAAAAAGGTTTTTGATATGTGTTTTTTCTCCCGATTTACGGGGCTTCTTTAGATTTCAATAGGATCCTTTAATGTTCGGGTCGTACGAGAAATTCCGCTGAACTTTCTTGCAGGTCGGAGTATATACACGGGGGGGGGGGCCCTCTAATATTAGGGGAAAACATTTAGCGCCCTCTTTCCAAACTATAATCTAGGGCCGAAATAGAATTTCGGGACCGGCCAGCCCCGTACCTTCTAATTGTTTTCAATTTCATGAATGATGAATGCTTGAATCCTGATGCTGGACACCCTGGGAAGTATCTAGTGGGCGACGAGAATAGTGGACCATCCAACCCTTCTTGTATGCGGAGCTGGAACCAGTTGCTGCGTGTCTCCTAGAAAGAGGCCACCCAGCTATCCACGTGTTCATGCCGTTTGGGATCAAGTTCTCTCCGACGACTATACCCGAGAGACAGCATAATACAGCGATCCTAGATCTGAGACCAGCGATTGGTCACAGTGAGGCAAAGCAATAAGGCAGAACTGACATCAAAGCGCCTTCCAAAACCAAGATGCGACGCGCAAAGCGACTGGCAACAGCTGAGGGACCACTAAATCAAAAGGTGATGCTCACTGGCCGCTGAGGAGCGTTGCCTGGTCCCAGATCATATCCATGCCCGAAAACGAGTTCCTCTTCGATCTCCTGCGTCGATCCTGTCCATCTCCGCTTCCAGCTGACGCTCCAAATCGTCTTCCTCAATGTGCATGCGGGTACCGCCTGAGAAAAAATCAAGATTGGGCACAGGCGGAGCAAGAATCACAGTGGCTACGTTGGAGGGCGGTGGAATCTTCTTGTTTGGAGAATCAAAATCAATGGTGGTGTTGCTAGCCTTCAGATACATGGGACAAGTTTTTGCTTTCTTCAACAATGTAGACGCTTCCTCAAACATCCCTCTCTTGATGTTGACGCTGCGTGGTTCCGCGGATGACGCAAGGCCTGAGTCATGCGACCTGGTAAGCTTTTTGGGCATTGTACTCGGCGTCCAGTGTGCGGAAAATTGACCGCGGACGCGAAGCAGAACCATGGAGCCCCACAACCCCCAGCGAACAGCCTGCAACTTTTTGAAGTCAGGACTGCACTGAGCTGTCCACTTGTGCATATAAGCCATCTGACCCACTCCTGCTCTCTGTGAACCCGGACTGCATGATCTTGGTCGAACATGCGGGCGCTCTGTTTGGAGGATCCATATACCAGCGTCTGTGAAGAACTCAGAATCCGCAAAGTCATTGCATGGCACCGGGTCCTTGTTGATGCCGGCCTTGCGGTTGTACACGTGCGTCTTGCTGTTCAGGAGGACGATGAGGATGCGGGAGAGGGGCGAGGAGGGTGGATGGGCTAGAGTCCGAAATCCGCCTCCCAGTAGGGGTTTCACAGGCCTTTTCAAAAACTCAGTGGGCGGATACGATCCCAAAATCCTTATAGAATTGTGAATACAATCATTTAATATCAACTAACAAACATAGTTGAACCAATTAATCTATCTAAAGCCCAATTAAAATCTAATGGAAGCCTACTTAGAATCTGATCAATTTCAATTGAAATCTGATTTAAAACCATTGAAATCGCAACAATCCCTATTGAACATCGCACTCAGATTTCCTATAAATTCTTTTATAGAAACAATTAAAAACAATCAACTTCTTGGAAAGGAACTCCATAATCCAAGCGAGTCATGCTAGGGACCCCCACTTATTAAAAGGATCCGAGCAGTCATTAGCTTGAGTGTTTGCCCTCTCTAATTTAAAAATAGTCTTGGGGGCAGATTTCAGAATTTGAAATCTTGCGGAACCCGTACTTTTTATTTGGGTGGCTTAAAATTGGGTGGGGGGAGGGGGCGGGGGCGGGACGGATGAGACTTCCAGCCTTGTTGCAGTCACCTTAGACCAGGACCTGTTTAGGCCTGTACTTGCCTTGCTTGCCTTGTTGGTGGGAAGCGGAACCCCGTCCAAAAACCGGCGCGGTCCGGACCAAACATCTATCAAGACACTTGGTGCCTACTTTGGGCATCATCTGCTTTCCATTTCCTTGGGGCTCTGTCCCCACAGAAAACGACTTCAGCACTTCACGCTCCAAAGTTGGTGAACAGTCCGAGCTTTCGGACCATGAAGCCTTAGGGTTTCTGAGCCCAAAAAGAACTCCAAATGAAGCTGCAAAAGAATCTGCAGTTCCCTGCGGTGAGTCAGCTATCAAACTCATCTGTGGCCCTGGACAGTAAAACAAAGGATCTCTAGGACTTCCAAACACTCTAAAGCTTAAACTGCGCCGTAGACATGCAAATCGCTTAGAGAATGGCCCTACATCCAAATACCTTAAACCTTTTCCCATCACATGGGAGTCTGTCAAAGTTAGCCCCTTATCAGAAGGACCCCTCAGAGCTTCCATATTGTGGAAAATATCTCACATCAGGTATAGGGTATCTGTTCAGGGTCCCGAGAAATAGGGACATCTCGCATCTAGACCCACCAATATCTATCTACGAGTAGCTATAGATAGTTAGATAGATCGATAGATAGATAGATAGATTTGTGTATATATAGATGTGTATGTATACAGATGTCTACCCTTGCCGGTCACGGCATATCCTTGTGTAGTTGCACGACGACCCAAGAGCGGACTCGGTAAGGTCTCGAGCCTCTGCCGTGTCTGCGTCAAGCTTTGGCCGCTTCGGCAGTTGACCCTCCTTATCCTGCCACTCAACTTACTGGGGGGTTAGTAGGGAAGAAGGGAATATATTGGGATTATAGTAGGGGATAAGGGAACGTATTATCTAGGATGTATATACGGAATATGTTCCCTTGTCCCCTACTAAGAACCAATATGTCAAGGTCTCCGCAAAAGGGGCGCGTTTTTTTTCAGGGATGTGAAGCTGTGCGAATGACAGATAAGCAAACACTCCTCAAATCGTGTGAGAAAAACGCTAGTATGTCTTCAGACATGTTCTCCAAGCAAGTGCTAGGAGTACGGAGTACTGGAACCTTGTGCAAATTAGACTAACACTGACTTCCTCAGAGCAAGGGACCGCAAGCGGAAGGAGTGATTCTGTCACGTTCCCAAACTTGCTTGTGCCTACTGTAGCAGCTAACATTACTTGGCACTCGTGTTGGACATATGAACTACCGAACTCAGGCGTGCATACTGCTCAGTTCTGGAGACTTGCAACCTGAAACTCCACAACCTGAATCTCAAAGCCTGATTGCACCATACCATGTAGATATAGATCTACATATCATCTACCTGATTGGATTTCAAGCCCTGACCTCCAGACTGGTCCCGAGCGGGTTTAAGCTGGTAATACAGTTGTGATACTTAGTAGACTTCAGACCCTTCGGCAGATCGCATTCATGGACTTGGGTCTCCGGGGGGAAAGCAAGTGCATCTACAGGAAAGCTTCCCGAAATCAGATCGGTTTGGACCACGAATCCTACTCAGCCAACGTTTATGCCGTCATATTATGGATCCCTAAAGAGGGGCGCCTTTCAGATTCTTTGGATTTACTGTCATATACAGGTTTAAGACCTGGCTATTCCCAGCAAGTCACACAGCAGAAAGTGTTTCCAACATTGCGCATGCAGGTTGCTGTTGTGCTTTTCTCTCCTTTGGCAACGTTTCAGATACTTGCAGCTGTCAAGTTCGAACTTGCACAGTTGTCGCAATGGTCTGAATCAGTCTTCAAAAGCTACCGAAAGGCTGAAGGGTGTTGCAGTATTGGAGGTCGGGTCAGGAACTGATGCGCAACTGACCATGAGCAGCAAGCAAGAGGCATTTCAGAACAAGTGGCAGTGCCTCGTCACAATGCTGACATTAACAGTCTGCCAACCGTGCACGTGCCTTCTTTTCTTTCTTTTTATCCTTCCGTTTGTCCTTGTCTTTCCTCAGGTGTTTACCGAGTCCGCCACCCAAAGACGTATACCCAAAGACAAAGCTCCCAAGCTCTTCCCATCTCCCGATAAGAACTATGGAACCAGCAAATATCCAAAAGTCGGTGATCCACCATGTGAGCATGCGTTCTTACCACCTGTGTTTCTGTGGCTGACGTGCTATGATGTCGGCCACGTATACCACAGGGTTTCTTGGAAGCGTGGGGGATGATGTGATAGCTAACTGCTTCTTCAAAAACCAATGCGCCATTTTGTTTGGGATGCCTTTTGAATGTCCCAGTTTTAGACCTTGTTTTGCCTGGTATGTTCCTACTGAGATGACTCCAGTAGCAACGTGCTGCTTGTAAAAACAGGGAAGCTAAGCTAAGGGCTGCCCTGCTAGGATACAGTCGGGTCCAGACATGCAAGGAAAATAGACAAGAACCGATTGCCAAATCACCGACACAATTGGAACTAGGAAGTGCTGAGGGTGCGACTTCTTCTCTTTCTTTTCTTTGCGCAACTCTTCTTTTCCTTGGCACGAACATTTGCAGGCTGTCATCTCCATAAAGCATCGTCAGGCATCAAAGCCGTCACAGACAGCATTAGTCTTCCCGATGGTGAGAATGCCGCTGAAAACAACTGAGTTTTGAATAGCATCAAGATTCTTGTGAAGGCCGGTCGAGCTGCAGAGCCCACTTGCAAACTAGCTACTGGGGTGAGAGGTTCTCCACATGGGGACATAGGGATGGTCTTGGGGCCACTGGACTGAAACCATACAGGGATCACTGGAGATCTCTTGAGACATAGTCAGGCACTCTTGGGAAACTCCGATATCGCTAGCTCTTCATAATTTGGGAAAGAAGCCCCAAACCCTGAATCATCCTGCAAAGCGCACGTGCATGCAAAGAACGAAGGCAGGACAAATTCGAAGCTTTGAACGCACTGGCTTTCTTGGCTACTGATATAGGATTGGCTCGGTCGTTGTGCCCGTAAAATGCATCCTGCATCATCCTGCAACCTAAAGTTACATACCTGAACCTCTTGTTCTATTTACTTCATTAACCGAAAGATGCTAACCTATACATGAGGTGCCGCATTAACTTTGAGACTTCGAAGGACAACTCAGTTAAAGCACGGCCTTTCGGCCAACATTCTTGCTTCCTGCCCAGAGGCACTGGCAGCAGCTATATGCCAGCCAGGATCCGTCTGTGTCTTTCTTCAACTTTTTGTCTTTCTTCTCTTTCTTGTCCTGCACGAATCCATGCGCACTTGGAAGGGCTCCAGGCAAACATTCTCCTCCTGCTACTAGTACTACGAGTAGTAACAATGCTAGTAAGAATACTACTAACAGCAATAATTCTTCTAGTAGAAATTAGCAGTCTCGGTTGCAGTACCAGCAGAAGTGGTCCCTGGTTGTCGCAGTGTCTTGAACTGCAGAAATTGTTTTGGCGTATGTTTTTCTACTGGTCCCTCTGCCAGTCATTGCCAAACAGGCCACAGACATGGATATGCGGTATGTTTTGGATGTAATTAGGGTTCAGAACCCAAACATGTCAAGCCTCCGCATGCCTATCACTGTACTGAATCTAGCGGAGGCACGCAGACAAACTCATGCCTGAAATGGAAACATCAAGCTGTGGAAAAAAAACAGTTCAGGCAGTTACAGCTAGCAAAGAGCTTTGATGTAATATGTTCTCAGCAAAAAGGAGCACAAGTACAAGGCCGCAAAAGGCAACGTAAGACTTGTCCGCCTCTCCCAGGCTTCACATCCCACACTTTACCAGATGAGGGATTCCTGACTTCAGACATGCGTGTTCTGCACAGCTGGCAAACCCGGCCAATGCAGCTGCTCTGGGATGGTATAAACAGTTTAGAGTTCAGAGGTTCGCGCACCTCAGGTCTGGCGTTCAGGGCGTCAGGGTCTCGGAACCAAGCTTATTGCCAGACTGGCTGGAACTCGATTAAAGGCCACGACAACTTTACAGGAACTTGACCCCTGCCATGAACAAGAAAAAGGGACCAATAAAAATGCCTCACGGAACATCTCTCCCGGACGTCTCACGAGACAAGCTACATCGCCTTCTTGTCCTTCTTCTTTTCTTTCTTGTCCTTGCGGTGGGAGGTAATACCGAGAGTTCTACACCCTCCGGATTGGCCATGCAGTCGTACTGTAATTACATCAGTGTGACACATCCTTTGCAGAATGCCTTGTTATCAACGTGTCCGATCTCCTACCTCTGCCTCTACCTCTTCTATTCATTCTGCTGCTGCTGCTACTACTACAAGTGCCACCGCACAATCACTGCTACTGCCACTGCCGCTGCCTCTCCTACTGCTACTGCCACGGCTGCTGCTGCTGCTGCTGCTGCTGCTGCTAGTACCCCTCGTCCTCCTCCTACCTCCGCCTCCTCCTCCTCCTGCTCCTGCTGCTGCGCCTGATCCTGCTCCGCTCCTGCTGCTGTTGCTGCTGCCGCTGCGGCGTACTGTTGCTACTCATCTGCTGCACACGATCGCTCTTAACTTTTTGCTTCTGGCCTAGTTTCAGGCCAAGCAAGCATTACCATGAGGCTGGGGAAAAACTGAGCTTGTCAATGTACAGGCCGAATCCGAGTGAAGCATTTTGGAAGAGAAATGCGCATGTCTGAGACAGTGGCTGTAGATGAGTACGCTAGCATGCCCCGTGGCAAGTCAACTCTCCATCGCACTAAACCAACTACTCCAGTGAACAGGCGGGGTTCAGCAACCTTCTTTCAAACCTCGACAGTCTACACCAGTCATTGTAACCAGCTGACACAGGGGTATAATCAGAACAACCAGAATGCTGTGGGTAAAGGGGTTATACAGGATGCCACGGTCCAGCACATGCCTGGCTCGGGCCGCGCAAATGAAACGTGAACACCCCGGCCAGAAAGGAACTACGACAGGTCCAACGGAAGTTTGGGCAACAATTCCCCAACCTTGATAATCTCTTGTTCCAAAACTGATCCCAAGGAGCAGAAGCACTAGTTGAATTGCAACCCCCAGAAACAAGAGCAAGCTCAATTTCCCAATCAGCTACTCCAAAGGGCATACCTGAAATCCTAAAGCTTGGGATCCTTCTTGCGCGCTTCGTCGGAAGCCGCTTTGGCCTCTCCATCGGGTGGCGCCTCGGCAACAATCTGCTATTTGTGGCTTCGTGATTCACGGTTCTGGTCTGGTTTGCAGTGGTCCGGCCAGCATGTGCTGTTCTTTAAAACGCCGACAGGGATGTCACCGTTGACAGTGCTACAGTATCCTCGTAGGAACCTCGCAAGAAAAATAGCAAAAGTATAAGCAGCGGCAGTAGTTGCTGCAGCAACAGTGCCATCAGCAGCGGTGGTCGCGGTCGCGGCTGTCAGCTTGGTCGTTGCAAGTCAGGTGATCGTTGTCATTGTCATCGCTGTGCGTGGCATCGTTGCTTCAGGACTGGCCTCACTTCTTTCATGTTTTCTCCGGAGTGGCTCCACTGCTCTCCGCCGAATTATTGAATGGATACTGCAGACCTCCCTGAGTTAAAGATGGCCAACAGAAATTGGACGGCCCGCGCTACTTCAAACCGGGATGTTGCACTGCGCCCACTACAACCTAGGAGGCTGAAGTTTGCAAAGTCCCCGCTCATTTAGAGCTGTCGTGCTCCGAGGGAGAATGCAAGATCGCATGATCATGCCTGAAAAGCTGTTGAAATGTTTGGGTTCTATATCTAGGGCTCCTGTCTTTGGGCTATGGCAACACTGTGCATAATGTCTTCTGGCACATTTACTGACCATGTTCTGGAGTGTCGACAACTGGGTTAATCAGCAATTTTGAGAATGCCGAATTTAAGATCTTGACATGGCACTGGGTCGGGCAGTGTACAAACAACATGCGTACAGCATTCCGCAGCGATGTGATAGCAGTGCCGCAGTACAGGTCAGGACAAACTGCGATCAAAAGGATTGCAGGCGTAAAGCCAAACTATGATAGCGCGTGCAAGAAGGTGATAAACGAACAACAAAGTGACAAAGTGCCAACATGAACATACTTGTACAAGAAAACACTGTGCCAAAGCCAAAAGGAATGCTGCAAAATGCTGTGCTAGAAGATCGTGGGCTGACGCGTTAAGAAAACAGGTCCGCACAACCATCTCGCAGTACGACAACATGAAGCAGGATCCTGCATCTAACTTAGATACTGCTGGTGTCATGAAAGCGCGTTAGCACTATCTCAAGTATGATGCGGTTCTATGCTGCACTCTGATCATCCTTGAGGACACATGTCTAGATATGTGGCATGCCATGAGCATTTTGCACGATAAGGTCATCAACTGCTTCAATAGAAGCATAACACCATGATGTCCAAGTGCAGGCAGCTGCTTGTCTCACAAAGCTATTTCAACTGAGATGATGTCCCTGCGCAATAGCGATTGTACTTGATGCTGTATTGTAAATCACAATGCGTTGACGGAATGACCGCGCAGCATGCAATGGAACAACAAAAACGGTGCACCACTGCACAAGCAACATCAAAGGCACTTCCTCAAACAGAGTACCCGTAATCACCCGTATACTGGATATAGGAGTGTAAGCCATACGGAGCATGGCCGTGTGACAGCAGAAATGACAAAACATGCGGCAACAATACCGTAACATCATGATGTAAGGGGGAAGCCCTGGGGTGTCCGCTGAAACGGGGCAGGGCTAGAACACCCCATCACACAATTTCAGCCAAATCAGATATTCACTGCTTCAGACTTTACATACGCTGGGTGTAAAACGTATGAAGGAGGATACGCACACGTGATGTAATGGGGCAAACGACACCGGCCAGTAACTATAGCCAGCTTGGCTGCTGTGACGTTCATGAGGTATAGGCCTATTGCCACTCATAACTTTCGACTACACAAACCCAGGATGAATTTTTCTGGGTCTGGGCTCCGGGCTCCCAAAGTATGACATCTATCAACGTATCATGGCTCACCAAGACGGAGGCTGCGTTGGAACAATATGGTGAATATGGCCAATGACTTTGTCCCTGCAACCTATCGACTCCCAAGCTGTAATCGCGCTACGCGGTGCACGTGCCCTTGGGGACACCACTTGGAGTTGAACGGGCCGTCCCTGAAGATACATACTCAATAGTAGCACTTAAGAATTAGAAAGTCTGACATGTACCTGGAAGCCCAAGCAGATTCTAGGACTGGAAGAAGGAGGGGTGCAAGGTCCGGCACCATCAGGTGCACACAACAGCATCCTCAGTCAGATCCTTCATGCTTTGCGCCTCAAGGTTAGTGCAGGCTTTCATCATTAGGATCCAGCGAGTCATGGATGAATGCTTCGCAGACGGGGCGCTGTCAAGATCTCGGTTGCAGCTGCTTTCACCTGGCAAGAACTAGCACGGATGGCAGGCCGTGATGAGAATACGAGCAAGCATGCAAGCAAGATGCAACAGAATGCAAACAATGACAGCACACACCAAAGCAGTAGAAATAGGAGCGGCAGTGGGGCAGGGCAGCCGCAACAATCACGTAGCAGCTGTAACAATAGCATGGCTTAGTGACTAACAGTTGTCACCGCTGCTGTTTACGTGGTAGCAGCAGCAGCCGTGGTGGTGGTCGTGGTGCTAGTAGTAGTGTAGTAGTGTAGTAGTGTAGTCGTCGTCGTCGTCGTCGTCGTCGTCGCCGGCGTCGTCGTCGTCGTCGTCGTCGTCGTCGTCGTCGTAGTAGTAGTAGTAGTAGTAGTAGTAGTAGTACTGCTGCTACTACTACTGCTACTACTGCTGCTGCTGCTACTGCTACTGCTACTG